CAGTGGTTAAAGTTGATGTTATCAGTTATACAAGGAAAGTTAAATACTAAAATGGTAGAACTTGATAACAAATCCACAGTTTGTGTAGTAGTAGCTAGTGAAGGTTATCCAAATGATTATAAGAAAGGAGAAATCATAAAAGGATTAGATAAGATTGAAAGTATTCCTGATATTTCACTATTTCACGCTGGAACTAAGTTGGATGAAAATGGTAATTGGATTTCGGATGGAGGTAGGGTGTTGAATATAGTTGCAGAGGGAGACACAGTAGAAGAAGCAAAAAGTAAAGTGTATTCAGCCCTAAATTTTTTAGAGTGGCCAGGGGGAGTTTTTAGGTATGACATTGGGTTGTCTGAAAAATAGTGATTGAAGGATGATACTGTACAAAGGAACAAAATATCACTATGAAAGCAGCTACAGAGTAGGTTGCAGATCATTTGCCATTGTTGTTAATCAAAAGTTACAGAGCTTTTATGAGTGACATTCGATTGGAAAATATGGATATAATCACAAGTATGGAAAATAATATGTATCATAAACTACAGTATATTCCATCTAAAATTAATACTATGTATGTAGACACGATAGGAGATACACTTGTTGTAAATTCTGGATTACCTTCTGACACCTTTAATACTGCTTATGGTGGTAAGATTAGCCAGCAGCGAGCTGAACAAGTTATGGAGTATTATTTAAGCCGTAAGATGCCTATGGTTTGGTGGATAGGCCCTTCTTCTGCTCATGATGAAAATATTGAAGGTGATATAGAATCAGCTGGATTTGTCTATGATGAGTTTGATGTGGGAATGTATTGTGATTTAAATTCAACAAATCTAGGTAAATATGCACATCCTGAGGACTTAAAAATTATACAATGTAACAACACTCAAAACTTTTTAGATTTTGGGGATGTTTTAGCATCAATATTCAATCCCACAGATGAACATGTGAAAATGTTTTATAGCAAAATTCAGGATATACCTCAAAGTGCTAGAAAGGACCTGGTACTGTTTGTTGGTTATGTAAATGGTAGACCAGTTTCTACTTCTGGACTTTTTGTAACAGATGTTGCTGGAATTTATGATGTTTCTACTAGGCCGGAAGAAAGGGAAAGGGGATATGGTTCAGCCATGTTTTATGCTACTATGATATACGCTAAAAGTAAAGGATTAAGAACTGGTGTATTACAGGCTACGCCTGATGGGATAAATATATACAAAAGGTTCGGATATCAAGAAATTTGTGAATTTCACGCATGGAGTAATAAGAAAGTTAGAATCAGTATCTAATAGGTTTTGCAAAAGGTCTACTTTCCATTATCAACTT